GCAGACTTCTCCAACTTTGCATGATATCCCCTTTATCACTGCTTTACAAACTACTCACCAAAAGCTAGAGATAAACAGAGGCACGGCCCTGCATCACTAATAAACATGTGCGTACGCGGTGCACATGCTCATCCTTGCAAATCCAAAAAGGAGTATTCAACAATGACGTGTGGCGGTCATCTCGGTTAGCGGGCAAGCTAACTATTTTAGCCTGAGGTTGGCTAGCTAGTGCAGGCAGAGAGACGCTGCCTCCGCACGGCTGTCAAAACACAACAACTACAGTTGTATGTGAAATAAGACAAACACTTACCAGTGCCACATGTAACCAAAAAGTAGTTCTTTAAATGTCACGTTGAAGCCTAGCTGAGAAGGGTGTTTTATTTTTCAGTGGAACCAAGTGTAAAATGGCCACAGTAAGACAACATTTCAGAGTGGGCGGGACCAATACCTGACTCTGGTCTGTGATTGGTGCTTGGAGTGCGAACACGTAAATGTCGACGATGATTGGTCCAGACAAACGGCCAACCCGAAACTAGTGGCCCATCAACTGGGAGGACATGTGAGGCATTTTACTTGATGCGTTTATGTCATCTTATCAAATATAAAAATCATAGAATCAGATATTTTGACGGGTTATGTATGAGTGTTTTTATTTGGGGAAAAAGGGTAAATTAATGCCAGAAACATAGGGGAGACAGTCGTAATTATTAATGAATGAATGGACCAAAGAACACATAAATACCTTACAACAGAAAACCCTAATATCAGCTTTATTTGGGGGAAAAAAAAAAAAATCCAGATATCCTAATAAGTCACAGTACAAAAAAAAGAGAGAGAGAGAGAAAAGAAACAGCTGTAGCAGCCCACCCCCAAAACTTTCCAGTCTTGCACCCCAAGCTTGACCTTCAATTAATTAAACAAAACAATACTACGGTTACAATTTATCATTTAACTGACATAGGCTGATCATAACAGCAGGATTAAGTAAAATGATTAAAATATACAAAGGAAATTAGAGACATCAACAATAAAAAGTTATAGTACAATAATGACAGAATCATTAAAGGGGGGATGGGGAGAGTTGAGTAAAAGGCAAACTTGAAATACACATCAATAACATGTCCTTACAAAGCCTTGTAGGACATACAGTACATAATGGACATTATAGTAATAAGATAAGCCCATCATCTATCTGAAAGAATATTCAACTTATCAACTACACCACTCATGATTTGACCCACTGATTAACACGATCAAATGAATCTCTGGTACACAAAAAAAAAAAAAAAAAGGTCCTAAAAACTTATATGTTTAACCTGATTGTGCCTCTAGGTATAGTACAATGTCTTCCAGTAAATGAAGGTTTCTGTCACTCTGAGTAGCTGTTAATTCCATTACCCATTTGAGCCATAAAATGTGGCCATCAGGGGTAACTTTGGCATGGAAACAAGGGGTTAGGTCAGTGACGCAGAAGGCCTTTCCATGCATACAGTACGTAGACACATATGTTAATACACTCCCACACAAATATACACACATTCACTGCATGCAGACCTGCACTGGGAAAACAAACCACCATACAGTTGCACACTCGCACGCACACACACACACACACACACACACACACACACGCACGCACGCACACACACTTAAGTACAGGTAAGTAATTCGGTATGGGAAAATATCTCATACAATCTAGTTTAGGCATACCCCTGCATAGTGCCTGAGTCAGAATATGGGCCTGAAGGAGCCAAGCCAATGACAGGGAGAAAGCATTCATAAATGTGATGTGTGGACACTACAAATGACAAAATAATACCCCATCTAAGTTATGAATCCCTACCCCACAACTTACTCTTCTCGACCACTGCTCTCAAGGCACTACATGTAGGCGATACTGTGTAAAATTCACTTAGACATGGTCTTAATTCAAACCTATTGTATATTTATGTCTTTTTTCTTACTTTCCCTCTCTCAGGTCCCCAGTGTCTTTGGCCTGATGAGGACATTTTCTCTCCAATCATTCCAATCATGGCACATTTCATGTTTCAGTTTACATCTATGCAACTTCAAATCACCCCCCCCCACCACTTGCCCTACAGACGTAAAGATTTGAAAGTTTTCAATAGACGTAAGAAAAATGGCACAAAACCTAATGTACAGACCAAGGACCAAGGTGTAGAAGCCTATCAAATCGTTTAAGACCTGCTTTAATTTGCTAAGGATAATTGGGTGATCAGAAATTAAGCATCCGCAAAACTTTTCAGGGCCCTCCTCAATATTCTCCCCCTATGTCAAAACTCAGTGGAAACTGCCCTCTCCATCTGTGCTTGACGGCAGCTCCTTCTTCTCCCAGAACCTATAACAGAAGGCAGGGGGACTTCTTGACACGTTTCTTGGCCTGCAGTGCTGCCCTAGTCGCCATCTCAAAGACTTCCCTCACGCCATCTTTGGTTTTGGCAGAACACTCTTGGTAGCCGTAGGCACTGATGCGGTTCGCCATCTCTTTGCCATCTTCACATTTAACTGGCTCCTGGAGACACATGTCAGAGAGAGATCAACATTTTGACACGTACACCAACAAATGTGCACATACAAGCATGTTTTGACCAAAAAAAACTGACCTGTTTCATTTTGGCAAGCTCTCGTCTGGTGTGCTCATCGTTGCGCAGATCTTTTTTATTGCCCACCAGGATGATGGGAACATTTGGACAGAAGTGTTTCACTTCAGGTGTCCACTTTTCAGGAATATTCTCTACAGTGAGTGGAGGGAAAGAATGAGCAATTAGCAAACTATATCAACATATATCTATTTCACAATCACAAGGTGTTCAATACATAGTGGAGTGATTGTTGCAAAGACAATACCTAAACTGTCAGGGCTGTCTACTGAGAAGCACATGAGAATAACATCAGTGTCAGGATAGGAGAGAGGCCTCAGTCTGTCATAGTCTTCTTGGCCTGCTGTATCCCAAAGTGCTAGCTCTACCTGAAAAGAGAGAGAGAGATAGGTACATCATGTAAGGATGAATGCTAGATAATTAATATTATTTACATACATCTGAGCATTTAAGTTACATTATTGTACTTTTGTACTGCTGTTATACTCAATATCGATACCTATCACTGTATATATGCATGTTTAGAAAAATCATGTCTAGTTGATTGACAGAAATAATTTTGGAAAAAGTTATTTCAGAGCAGAAATGATTAATTGATTATGCAATTAGATAGATACAGAAATTAGATACAGAATTAATCCGCTAGTATTCTGATGATTTAATAAATGTAGTAATTTTTTAAGTAAAAGAAAGAAGAGAGAAATTAACTGTTCCACCTCACCAAATATAAATATTTGCTGATTTGCCTCTATGATAATAAACTAAATATCTTTGAGTTTTGTACCACAGGTAGGACAAAGCATGCAATGTGAAGTAGTGCAACAACGATTAGTCGATTGTCAATTCACAAGTAAATTAACTATTCTGACTATGAATTAATCATTTAAATAATCTTTTCAAGCATAAATTTCAAGCATGTGATAGTTTCAAATGTGAGTGTCAGTGTCCCGCATTATAGTAAAGTGAGTCTCTTGGGCTTTGGACTGTTGGTCAAAAAAAAACAAGACGTCTGATGACTTCACCTTAGGCTGTAGGAGATTCTGATACGCATTTTCACAATTATTTTTTGGTCTTCTACAGATTCAGGGATTTATCCAGAAAAATATTTAGCTGAATAATGAAAATAATTGTTGGTTGCGTCCCCATCCCTAATCTCTGGGGAAATTATGAGGACTTTTTAAAAAAATTTTTATAAGACATACAACAACTTATACAACGTGATAAGTATGTATAATTACGTTAAAACTATTATAACCAGGCCCCCGTACAGTGTACAGTGCCCCTAGTTTGCAGCCAGTGTTCTGTGTTTTGTGTCTCACCTGTTTCCCATCCACTTCAATGTCTGCCACATAGTTCTCAAACACAGTGGGGACGTAGACCTCTGGGAACTGGTCCTTACTGAAGACGATGAGCAGACAGGTCTTCCCACATGCACCATCCCCAACTATCACCAACTTCTTCCTGATAGCAGCCATCTGTAGAGAAGATCATACTTTAACACAAGGTTATCACAAGTCACTACTCTCCACTAATAATACATCCAAACAGGGGTTTTACTAAGAGTGCACTGATGTACAATCAGGATGAATAAAACTTTTTAAACTTGATGATGCAATTACAATGCGTGCTATGCTTCAACAACAAGTCGTCGTCGTCGTCGTCCCCCCCCCCAACCCTAAATTTACACATAATGTTAGAAGTAACTCAGCAGCTCAGACAACGTTACTGCCACTAGCACACCGGCTTCCTTATATCTCAGTTTCATTACAAAGATCCTGGTGAACGACACAAATCTAAACCAAAAACGACGCGTCTGGCAAACAGGGAGGCTGCCTCCTCGGAGGTAAAGGGTGTAAACATATAACATTTCCGTGCTGTGTTCCCATTCCTGCTCAAAGGCTGTGCAGTGTAGTCCGGGCCTGTCAAACCAGCTAACATTAAGCTAGCAAGAGAGCTAACGGTGTTTGCCCTGGTTTGGATTACTGTCACTCAGGGTTTTCTCTCTGAAATGGTAACAACAGCATTCACCGCACTACCGTGATACTTCTGTGGCTGAGACAAGAAACGGCGTAAAGTTTAAACGCTATAGCTGAATATGATTACCGCTTGATGTTTCTGTGTCCGCCTTTCTCCTCTTCCTGACCGACTGGAAAAACTCCGCCCACCGCTCACACGCATGCGCACAATAACGTAATTTGCCAACAGGCTGCTGCACCTTTTTTTTTTTTTTACCTTATCAAATATCTTTATATCCTTATCTGAAATATGAGCTATGAATACAGTTGTATCATTTATTACATATTCACAAGAGTGAAATATATGAGACAATACCACGACAATAATAATCATAATAATAAAGTCATTAACCCCATTAAAAGCTCAACTTCAGACAGTTTTACATTGATCTTTTATTGACTCTTTCACATATCAGTAACACAATACATTACATTGTGTAATTTGTCCATATGTACAACAGAAGTAGACACATGTAGAAAAAAAAATACATACATATATTAATATATACATACACATTATAATTCAGTTAGAGGTAAATCATAGCCCATTTTAATATTTTCAAGTTTCATGGTTTACTGTCCATGGGGAAGGAGATTAAGATAAAAAGACAGCATAGATATAGGCTACAGATAATTATATCTCAAATGAAAGGTTTAAAGATTAAATGTAGTCAGAGAATCAGGTGAATAAGTTCTATAAGTTACAAGTTCACAATTGAGTCATGAAATGTTTCCTTATTTCTATTCCACCCAGCATTTGTTTTTGTTTATATGGGTTTAAGTTAGCAAGCATGAATCACTTGTCTTAAGAGTTCTGCATCATGTGCAAGTACACTACTCACTCCTGCTTGAGGACTTGGGCACAGAGACTCTTAAGACTCTGCTGAGACTACCTCAGTCTGAGCTGTCTCACCTCTCCCACTGAGACTCTTCAAAAGCATCTCCATTATTTAGGAGGGAGAGATGAGCTCTTCAAGTCCACTTAAAGTGAGCATAGCTTCTCTCTTCTCCTCCTCAGAGTTTATTTGAGCTCACTGAGAAGTTCATAGGTGGCAGAGTTAGAGCACTGCTGCTTCTATTTGTTTCTATGGTCACTGGAGGTAAAGTTGCTCTGATTGGCTGCCTGGCTCAGCCAGTCTCTGATCTATTTCCTGACGGCGGTGGTTGTGGTGGTGCTGTTGCTGCGCTGGTAGAACAGCACATAGGCTTGATTGGTCTGAAGCTGGTTCTCTGAGACTGGAGTCACACTGTAGGTGGGTAGATGGAGAGTAATCATTAGGAACAGCTTCAGGTTTGTATAGAAAGCAGCTCAATACAGATGACCCATAGTCACAGAAGGCTTTTAGAAAAGACTGTCTATGACATGCAGTTGGCAGGGCATTGAACACAAAATGACTTAGATGCAGTCTCACCTGGAGTCATTGTAGAAGCACCAACCATTTTCATCTGAACAGCAGGCTGTGTAGTGACCCATGTTCACCGTCCCAGTGTGGTTACATATTGCGTATAAATCATACAGAACTGGACCTGTGGGGACATAGTAGTACAGCTGGAGACCTTTCCTCACAATAGTTCACATCTCTTTCTCCCAATGTCTCTTGTTTTGCTCAATTGTCAATTGTTTAAAATAAAAGGCTATTAAATAAAAGCTTTTAAATTAATTATATTATATAGTACTCAATACTGGTGTCAAAAGGTTAAAAGAGTTACTTTCACCTATGGATGACCCCTTTTATTTCTTTTGAAGGTGGCTGTGACAAGCCCCTTGTTTTTTAACCTTTCCTGCTTATTTATTATTTCAACATTTCACTGTATTCCTTTTGCCAAAAATAAATTAAACGTCTCACAGTAACACACTAAAGCACGCATGCAAAAGGAGATAATGTACAAAAGGAGGAATAAATGAGAAATGCACAAGGACAAACTGAAGAAAGAAAGGTTTGTTTGTGTTACCAGAGTCGACGGGTCCGTAGGGTCCAAGGTCCAGGTTAGTGAGTGGGAAGGACACATACACTGTGCTTTTACTGATAGACCACCGTGACATTGTAAAACGATTTAGATCTGACGGAGACTGTTAAGCATCATCATAACATCCTGCACAAAAATACATCAGTCGCTGATAAGGTTAATACACTAAGTTAAAGCTGTTGCCAAGGATACGGATCACAATAACCTGGGGAAACCTCTGGATGGACAGTCGCTTGGTGCACTCTGTATGCCTGTTACACCTCTCACACATCTGAAACACACACACATCATAACATCCTTAAAACACTTGCAAATACACAGGATCCATTGTAGGTAGCTAGTAAAAAAAAAAGGTTAATGGGATGAATTAAAACAGCTGGAATATTGAGGAACTCTTGTTATTTAACTCTGTATTACAGTTTTCCGTGTTTATACATTGTAATATTGTTTGGGGTGCTACTAAGTCATTTTACCTTAACAAGACACTTTTAATTCAGAAGAAGATTTTAATTATTCATAACGTTTTTAATGTATGTTTAAGTATTTCTTTGTGTCCAACAGTCTTCCTGACATAATTTCTCAGACCTTCATTTCTCTGTCTACAAGACTCAAATTAAAAAACAGCTAATTTACAGTGCCATATAACCGTTTATTTTTATTTTATCTTGTCATTGACTGTAAGTTATATATTTTATGTTTCTTTTATCTGCTTTGTTTCCTTTGTCTGGCATTGTCTGATGTTTATGATTATATTTTGTGTTGGTAGGACACTTTAAAAGACCTTTGGCTTCCTTCCTCCTCTGCACATATTTATTGATGCTCTGTTACTGTATTTATTATATCATTATCTTTAAATTGTGCAACGAAGTAAGAAAGATAAAAAGAAAACCCCTAACTACTTGAGTGTCTTTGCAGTCGGCTGCGGGAACAGTGAATAATGTTTAGTGTCGGCAGTGGGCATTTACAATAACTGTCTGTTTACAACAAACATATAAACATGGAATGATTTAAATAAATAGAAATAAAATATATAGGTTACGGCTGGATACAAAATTCAGTTCTGGACTCAAAAACAGTGTCCATGTTATTGACCTTTGACCCTAAAGTTAGAGACACATATTGATATATCACAATGCATTATTTTTGCACTCTGTGTTAACTCACTGGTGAATTCTCCTTGACCAGTTTCTCCTCCTGAGAGAAGAGGTCCAGGCACTGCCTCAGCGTGACCTCCCCAGTAAAGCTCCTCTTGGGTATGGGCAGCGACAGATCGCAGAACACGTCGAATGTGTTGGAGTAGTGGGAGCACACTGAGCAATGCAGCGAGCTCCGCAGCTGGCCTGAGAACAGGTCTGTGAGAAGGGTGGCAAGAATGATCAGTGGTTGCCCTCGTTGAACTTATGATACAGATGAGACTGACGGATCACCGTGACTGGACTGCTCTCCTCACCTACTATCCTGCTGTCATCTCTCTCCAAGTGCTTCTTCCACATGGCAGCTGCCTCTTCCGAAATCCTAAGGGAGGATGAGAGATGAGGGAAAGAGAGAGAACAAAATGTGGTCACATGAAGGACATCAAGGTTTTGACGATAGAATCTTTTCCACATCAACATACACACCTAAATCTGGCAAATTTTTGTTCGGGCTCCTTCCCTGTTCGTCGAACGTAGGGTCTGCGGTTGATTTCTGTGTGCAGCTTGTCCAATAGGAACCTGAGGAACTCCTGTGCATCCTGTTGACTGGGTTAAACACAGATATACAGGGAGAATTCTTCTTCATGTTACCGTTCCAGGCAACTATTTCTATTTCTAAGTCTCAACTTCAAAACCAAAAAGCAGCATCTGTACTGGTGGCAAAGTAGAAAACTAACTGAAATTATTTAGAGATAATCTCTAAATATACACACAATATCCAGTTAACATGGAATACAAGGTCAGGGACAAAAAACAATTATGATGTACAAACAGATCCAATTTACCAAAACAATTTCAGTGAAAGGTTAGAAGCAATCACACCGAGTACTACAGATCCTCTAAAATTGGCTTTAATTCTCCCAAAGTTTCAGTTCTGACAATTTCAGGTCCTTCTGTACATTATTCCAGGAAGAAGTGGCAGCACATTTAAAAGCATGTTTTCCAAGTTTTGTTCTAACTCTGGGAACCAACATCTGTAGAATATTGAGAGAGGGCAGGCCATATTTTGGTATACACAAAGATAAGAAGGAAGAGATTTATATATAAAAGCCAACCACTGAGAGAGTATGCAGATAATAAAACATAAGGCACAAGTTGCAGAAGTGGATATTGTGTTACATTGCATATATAGCATATTGTCTAAAAATCTCTCTGCCTTCATAAATATGCAAAGTAACTCGTGTTTGACTTTGCACAGCAGTGATTTTGCTTGCACAAAAGTCTCATGCATGCTTTTTCCTTGAGGAAAAGATGAACATCATCTACACTACTATTTTTTGTTTTTTAGGGGCCAAAAACATTTGGTGTCTGAATTAATACTGTTTTAGGTTAAAAATACCTCAATCAACATCACATCAATATAACAGGCGATTCCAAATATTTGAAGGGTAATGCGTATTCTCACCTGTAACCACTGAAATAAGGCACCGCTTCTTTAAAGAGATTGTAAAACTGTCTTGGATTTACAACTGTGTCTCCTTCATTTTCATCCCAAAGGCCTGACAGAACCTGAGAGAAAGCTGGCACAGGAAGACAAGGAACAATGAGAAAAGATAAAAACATAACATGGGAGGAATAATGGGAAGAGGAGGGAACAGCAGGAGAGAGGAACATACTCTCCATGAGCTTAGCATCCTCTTTGGAGAACTTCTCCTGCTTGTAGAGCTTGAGGAGGCAGTAGTCCCGCAGGCCACGCGTGTGAGACAAACACTGGACTATTGCATTCAGGAAACACTAAGTTGAAGATAAAGTGTAGGGGAAAGTGAGCATGTTTCTTCAAAAAAAACATATTCTGGTAATTATGGAAGTATTTCTTTAAAGGACTTTGCTTAAAGCGCATCCTGCATCATTAGACACTTACTGTGTTACCAATGTTTCTAAGGCCAACCCTTCCACTTCCTACGGTGAGCTGCTCTTTCTGGAAAACAAAGACAACACAGGAAGCTATTGACCCGAACATCTGCAAGCCTCTTTCGGTTTGTGTACACACGTGCATGTGTGCCCTACTATTTGACCCCTGGCTGTGTCTGTACGACATGATACTGTCCGTCTTAACCCCACCATGTCAGTGTGTGTCCAGCATTGGTAGGACAGATTTAGCCTTCTTATGTCATTAACATAACAAGGGAGGCTAAAAGGAGGTCAGCCTCAAGCATTCATCCTATTAGAGACCAAGGAGTGCTGACAGGTGCTTAAACACGTGTGTGTTGATGTGTACTCTCCTTTAATTCCGATTTCCCTGTCTGTGTTAATGTTGTTTCATGAGTGTCCTGTAACTTCCACATTAAGAACAAAAAGGCTTAAAGGCTACCGGACTAGATGATCTGAGCATAAATTAAAGGTTTATATACAATGTTGAGTTTTGCACACCTCGTGATCAGTGACCAGAAGCAGCCCCATCAGGGAGGTGTAGAGGACAGACTGGGAGATGTCGGCCGTCTCTCTCTGCAGGCCGTTATGAGACACCAAGGTCCGACACAGGGCCTCACAAGAGCCCTCCCCGTTGACGCCACTGGCTCCAGGCATCCTATTTTACTGGTAAACCCTCAGAAGTGTCTACCAAAAGGGGTCCTGAGACAGATAGAAGGTCTTCCAAGTAAATGAAAGCCAGGTGGTTTGCAGGCTCAGACTGGGTAGGTTCAGTTTTTCACATGCAGGGTTAAAGGTGAGCTTTCTGACAGAGAGAAAGAGTCCTCTTTTTTTCTAAACGCAGCAGATGAAAAAGTATTATCCTCTGTTTCCAGGAAAATATCATTCACAGCTGAAGGAAAAAGAACAGGATTCATTTGTGAATGAGCATCCCCTTAACGTAATTCCTTATCTTGAACAGATCGAGTTGATCCACTCTCTCTTGTAATTACAGCATGCGGAGCCGCTCGGAAAGTCAAGGTCTGACAGAGATCTCAGTGAATCCAGACATTAACAAATTAGCTTGACAGCACATGTTTACAAAAAGAGATGTTTTTTTGAGGCCTTACTTAGTGTTCATTAATTAAAGAATCAAGTATATAACCTGTAAAACAGAACTAGCCAATCTCCCAACCAATGTTCTTAGCTGTTATCAAACCCTAATCTATATAGACTTATTGCCGTTTTGTGCAGGTAAAGGGTAAAAATCTAAGGTTAGTTTGCAAATAATGCCATGCAAATATTGTAGCATTAGCAAATAAACACAGCGGCTTGGACTCACCTTATCACTTGGTCACTCTATCTGTGGACAAACTGTCCCAACCAAACTGTTCCCATCACCTGCTGAGCTGTTAAAAATGCATAAGGGGACGTCTACTGTTTCACTGTGTGTCTGTAGGCTAGAACTGAAAGTCTACCTCTCTCCTTTGCCCTGTCACTGGTGTCAGAAAGAGAAAGGGAGAGGGAGAGAGAGAGAAAGGGGGAGAGAGGGAGGGAGGATAATCATCACTAATCTTTTCTTTCTAGATCTTGTTGGCTATACTTAGACTTGTCTTTGTGTACTTGGCCATGAGTACCTCAACAAACTTTCAAGTGTCAGTTTATTAAAAAAAAAAAAAAAAACAGTAACAATGAAAACATTTTACACAGTACATTCACATTCAGTAATACTGTTCCCAAGATACACAGTACACATCACAACAATCACACAGTCCATCACCATCAAATGCAAGAACGTAAAATTATCCAACTAGGAAATGATATGTGTGTCTAAGCACAATTGTCTTTCAGAGATAGTCCATATTTAATTTTCTCCAATGTCAATGTACATTTATAGACATCTATAGTGTCTATAGACACTCCCCAGGCCTCCTGATGATCAGTCTAACAGTCAGCGACTGGTATGGTCTGCCATTTCTGTGTCCGAGCTGAGGCTGAGCTCGGCCATGTGATAGAGGGCGGGATCAGTGTGAGGGGAGAGCTGGGACTGACCCATCCTATCTCGCGACTGGACAATGGCCTGGCGCAGACAAGTGATCCACTGCTGCTTGCTGAAGGAGTCGTTGGCCTGCAGGCTGTAAGGGTGAAATTTGGAGCGCCCTCTGCTGCTCACACGGAAACAGTTCCTCACTGGGAGATGGAGAGACAGAGAGAGGAAGGGAATACATTGAGTGAAAGCAAGGTTGTGAATTTCACTTCAACTTATTGGGTGGCATGGCAATGCTTTCTCTCAATTGAAGTCTAAATTTAACTCCTTCATCCCTTATTTCACCAGCAGACGTGTAACAAAAAGTATAAATAAACCTAAACCATAAATGCTGGTCATGTATGCATTAATAAAGTATGTATACATTACTGTTTGTAATGGGTGCTTTTCACCTCACATTATTTAAAAAAATAAATAAAATAATCTAAATTAATTGTTAGCTGTAGCCCTATACCACTGAGTCCATATAATGTAGCAACTAATACAACATTTATATGCTGTATGTAGATGTTACCTTTATCGTTTCCAGTAAAGGCTCCCCTGAAGGTGCCGCCTCCACCAGCCTCCCCATCTGGGATCTCCTCCAGATTTAACAAGGCATTGGGTAGAGGCTGTCTGTACACATTGAACACCTGACCTCCATCTTTGTCCTCCGTCGGTCTGCTAAGCACCAAAGCCAGCTCAAACAGGAAGACATGCAGACGCTGACAGACGAGACAGGAACACACAAAGTCAGAGATATGGCTTCATGAGACTATTTATAACAAGACAATCATCTATTATTCAGATATTACAGTAACATCTTTGTTGGGATTACAACAAAAACAGCCCTTTCTATATGTGACAATTAGGATACAAGGAGATGATACAAAGTGCATTTTCAAAATACAGCTCATAAAAAGGGCCTAAGATCAAAATTTAGGACAGAGAGGAGCAAAGGTCTGTAAGTATATGGATCCACCCTGTCTTGGAGGACATGACCCCAGTCAGCTGAGATACAAACAAATCAACACTACTCAAAGGTCAATGACAACAGAGATTCACTACCTGGCCCTTGTTGTTCTTGAGCTCTCCGTGGCAGTAGAGGAAGCGGGACTGCTGGATCTCTGGTAGTCTCTGACTCTCTTCGAGGTAGCAAAGACCCCGCCTGTAGAACTGACACTCCGCCTCACCTGTTTTCTGGTTCACCTGTGCAACGATGCTCTGGATCTCCTCCAACTGAACAGAACCAAAGTGTTATACAGCATTAATGTATTGTATCTGGCATTTTGGTGATGAACAAAGTGGCACATCTGCTCCAACTGAGATCTTGGAGAGTTGAAATTAAATTTCTGGGCTGAGTTCTGAATAGAATACAACCCATACTGAATAGGTAAAATGTAAATGAACACATGAAGTATGTTTAGCATGACAACATCCTGTCCTACGTGAGCCTTTGATAAAACAATGATCTCTTGCTGCCATTTGGAGGCGCCAATGTGCAAACTATTATAGAATTAAAAAGGAAATATTAGGTGAAGCCAAATGTCTGGGCTGCCCATGATTGCAGACTGATGTATTTCATAATAAGGGAGAGGAAAAGAGTGTGAGAGAGTAACCTATAAAACTTTTAAAAACTTAGATATTTATTCACTACTGACTGACGATATTTCACACATGCATACCAGTCCTATGGGTTAATTATCTTGATTTTTGTGTATAAACCACAGATTATAGATTAGACAGACAACTGTTGGTTTTGATGCTACAAAGAAAAATCTGTACCACCTACAAGATAAGAAAAGAAAAGAAAATAACTGAATGAGAAGCAACAAATAATCTGATGTTTTACTGTGTATATGAAACATTAGCAGTTAGCAGCAACTATCTAAATATCTAAACCAGCAGACTCTTAAGGCATCATTTAGAAAAGCACTCAGGGATAAGAATTACAGGGTGCAGTTGTGGCGTTTGTTTTAACCATTTCAACAGGCCCCTTGCAGACTCGGGCATGTCACACTGTGTAATACTAAAGGCTGCAAGGCCGGAGGGTTAAGTAAGTGTATGTCAAAAGGAGAGTGTATGTGTGTGTATTCATGTTCACATTTGTATGCACATGTACATGAATGTGTAGGAAACAAACTCACAGCGTCAGGCAATGTGTCCTCATCCGGGTGGTCTGGAGGTGTGCACTTCTGTATCTCTTTCAACAGAAGGGGGTATTTGACTAAACGGCTCCGAGGGAGATCCAAGAAGTTCCACAGGTCCAGTTTCCTGCTGAATGAAGACTCCTGACACAGGCGCAGAAAGTGCTCCACTCTTTTCTCGTGCTTTTTCTGGTCCAGCAGGGCTTTAGCCCCCACCTGGTTACAGCAGTATGTAATATAGGCCTCCAGGCAAGGGAACTGTGGGGGGGAAGAGGCAGTGGAGCAAAGGAGTCAAATAAAGTCTGATAAAAGCAGAGATGCACACAGATTGAACTCTGCAATGCTGGTTTGGAGAGGAACATACTAGAGTAAATACAGGAACTGCAGAGAGACATAGTGGGTTGTGCTCTTTTATGTGCCTTTCTCTCAGGCTCTCTTGGTTTTCATGGACATACTCACCCAGTTCATCAGCGTAGGCCCCACCTCTCCGACTGTCTTCTCTGATCCTCTCAGCCGCTCAAGACGACCCAGAAGATCTGGTACGAAACAAAAACAGCAGAGTCAAACGGACTGAATCCTCCTTGATTTTTGCTCACTGAACGCAAGTGTTACTAGAGCTCAAAGACAGGGATGGCACATTCAACTCATTCAACTTCCTTTACTCAAAAAAGACATGGCATCAGCAAACTCTCAGTTAAAACATGGAAACTTAAATTAACCAACATTGTCCTTGTGTAGGTTTACACACCTGCTTTCAGAGCAGAATCAAAATTAATATCACTACATCAATTATATATACTATATATCACCATATGGCAAATTCTATTTTCTAGGTTAATGCAGTGAACTGTTAGACATTTAATCACAGACAATGCAAACCTCATGACTCATTTAGAAATATTTGAATTTATTTAGAATTCTTCAACAATTCTCCACCAAAAGTCACCATATTATAACATTTAATTATCACTCTGTTTGCCTTATACAAGATAAGGAAATGAGGGGGTTCTGTTGAAGCATTAAAGTGGAGGTTGCGTGCAAAGCAGAGAGGTGGTTTACCTTCATGGAGAGGAATGAGAGAGTCCAGTGTACCAAAGATCTGTCCAAGCTCACTCTCTGTCATGATATCCAACTTCAGCATGGGCTCATAGTACACCTGGTGGCACGCAGCAAAGGTACGGAACAAGTGTGTCAGCATGTGAAATGGGCATGAGGAAGTGGAAAGACACTTTCAAATATATTCGACTTTCATCAGAAGACTTTGGTAATAGTGGTGGTGTTGAGTGGAAAAGTACCTTCTTGACCAGACTGAGGTCATCAATGAGTTGCCTCTCTCCCTGAGTCAGCTCATAGATCACCTGCAGAATGACACAAAATTACTCAAAAATGGGACATGTGAACACCAACATGTGGTTAAAGACACACACTCGCATTTAAAGTAAAATACACAGATGAGCTCTCACAGCTGATTGTTTAATAAAGGAAGTTGAGCTGTGCCAGCTCACATCCTCTTTCATAATCGCTGTATAGAGCTGCTTCACAGAAATAGAGTAGTCACCCTGCTCACACAGCATCCACTGCCCCACAGCTTGACCCACAAACCCCAAAACACATTGTGTTATGTTTTTAATGTAGCTGAATTAAACCTAGCGAGCAGCACCTCTTGACGTTTTATCTCCTTTGCAGTGAGGTCATGACTCTCCACCGTGTCACTCCAGCACTGGCTGTTACGCCGACGGGGAAACGATGAGGCCTTTGTGCGTGAGCGCAGGGGGGCCGGGGGCAAAGGTCGAGCCTCTGTGCGAAAACTGATAGACCGCTGTGAAAAGAGCAGAGTGGTTAAACGTCCGCATGCAAAAGTAATTTGTAAGACAGAGGTGTGTGAGTGTACTTTGTGCAACTGTTACCGAAATGGACTGTCCGATGCGTTTCAGAGCGGGGGTCTTCACTGGGGTTATAACACCTGTTAGGCTGTTGGACTTCGTCACAGGTTTGACCCTTTTATTACTGGGCTCCTAAAACGAAATCAACCATAAAACTTAAGAATCAAACTACTTTTTTAAATTTTTTACATTACGACTTTTACATCACAAGACTTGCTGAACACACATCTGGGCCTCGGGCAAAAGAAGAACACCCCACCTCTGAATCCTTTGTGTGGTCGGACATCATTTCACCCTCCTCATCTTCCTCCTCATCCTGATAAAACAGCATTTAGCAAAGTTAGAGGTGAAGTTAGAGACATGAAAGAGCTGAGGAAAGTGGAAAGAGAGTGATGGTGAGATGGTGAGATGTTGCACGGTGCAGATCTCTCATTTCCTGTGTGACACTTTCAAAGAGGAAGAAGGTTGAAACTGTGCTTCT